ACAAAATAGGTAAGGCATGATTAGTGGATAAAGCAGGATACAGCATTTTTGATATACCACAGTCCCCAGCCGTACAAAACTGTACCTCAGAGACCTATGACAAGTGGTCAGAAGTTATTATGTAACTCTTTTCCTCCTTCTTCGTACTCTAAACTTTCCAAGTTGCCCATAATAAATATGTGTTCCTTTTTAAACAAGAAAGAAAATAAATAAAAATGTTCATTTACAGTTATGCCACTCTTAGGAACGTATCCTAAGATGACTGAATAAATATACAAAGGATTTTATGCACAAAGTTACTCTGGTGATTTTATTTATAATAGTGAAAAATTGGTAGCATGTCCAATAATTGGGCAATATTTGAGTAATATATGGAATAATTATACAATGGTGTATTTTGCAATCATTGTTTCGATATTAAGTAATCAAATAGAGTAATGGTTATAATATAAAGTGACAAAATAGGACATAAAATTGCATAAGCACTTGGATTAAAATTGAGCTTAAAACGCCTCATGCATAGGAAAAAGGCTAAAGAAAAATGCCAGAATGTATGATAATAAGGTTTGTGACTGGCTGTTAGGTTCATGGGTAACATTTTGTTTTTGGATTTTTACTTTCTTTGGTCTTTTCCAGATTTTCTTTAGTAAGTGTAATTCTTCCAAAAAAAAAAAAAGAAAGAAAAAAGGATGTTGCCATTAACTCACCTTAGATACACACTAACATACTAAATACACAAAAAGTTATCTGTCTGATACAATTACAGATGTTTTTTCTAATGTGATTATATACTTTATTCTCTAGAAATATACTTCAAATCATTACCTTTATTCCTTGACTGCCAGGAAGCTCAGAGTTCAATTTATTGTTTATCAAAGTAATTATATTTGCCATGGGTTTTGATTAATTTGTGTTTCTTCTCTCTTCTGATTTTAAAAGTTATATATAATGATCTAAATATTATTTTTTTCTATTTATATGATGCTATTATTTTATTACAAACTACTTCAAATTCTCTTGCAAAGTGGGTTGTCAATTTTAATAAAGAATAAGTCTACAATCTTTTTTCCCATGATTTTACAGCAGTGAGGGAAGTGTTAAACTGTTAAATCTCTATATAAATATGTATAAATATGTGTATCGGTCTGTATACATCTGTATGTATATACATATGTAAGAATTCTTGAATACTTATGAATCTTTGATAATCCAAATGTGTTGACTACTTTTCTTTTTCTACTTTAAAAAAATTTTTTAATAGCTTGGGCCCTTAGAAATCATAGATGGTATTAATGAGAGACTTCAACTCTTCAGTATTTAAAATAAGCTTTACAGAAATAGTCTAAAGTCAGTGGATAAATATTCAAACTAAAATTTTTCTTTGCTTTTGACTTTCCAACTCAGTGTGGTAACACTTTTTTTTTTTTTTTTTTGAGACAGAGTCTTGCTGTGTCGCCCAGGCTGGAGCACAGTGGTGTAATCTCAGCTCACTGCAAGCTCTGCCTCCCGAGTTTACACTATTCTCCTGCCTCAGCCTCCCGAGTAGCTGGGACTACAGGTGCCCGCCACCTCGCCCGGCTAGTTTTTTTGTATTTTTTTAGTAGAGACGGGGATTCACCATGTTAGCTGGGATGGCCTCGATCTCCTGACCTCGTGATCCACCCGTCTCGGCCTCCCAAAGTGTTGGGATTACAGGCTTGAGCCACTGTGCTCGGCCAGCAACACTTTTATCTCACACTGAGTAGATCGTTTACTTTGAATTCAGAAATGTTTTTTTATGCATAAAATCCCAGAAAGTAAATTATTAATTTATAATTACATTATATTCCGAAATTGAAACTCTCAAAGCCTACTGTTTAGGGAGGGAAGAAATGGAAGGGTCTTGTTGCAGTGAAGAGATTGGGCATGTGGGTGTGTGCTCTGCCTCTGGTCATTGTGGGGGTAGCTGGTGATATCACAGAATGTGTTCCTCCTTGGTGGCTCTTACTGAAGCTGCTTCGATTATCAGTCTAAATTGAAATCATTTTTATTTTAAATGCTGCAGCAGTTTTGTCCCTTAATCTAATGGAACTCCCCATTTTTGAGATTTTTTATTCTGCCTTCCTGCTGTTTTCTTACTCCTCAGTGTTGCCAATGGTGTTGGAGCTAATATTAATACATTAGGCCGACGCATCCCATTCATTAGCATGAGGGCCCGGGGCTGGAGGAGAGCATGATGTTGGCCATGTGCATTAGCCATTGGCTAAGAGACTGCATCAGCTTCCACTCTTCTTTCTAAGGAGCAGCTGTCATTGGACTGAACAACGGCCTCCTCATCCCAGGACTCTCTTTAGCGGGAAGAGCACTGGACATAGATTTGGATAGGTTCAATTTGAGCCCTGGCTTGGCATATAATGACGCTGTGACCTTGGGAAAGACTTGCAACCTCTCAGCCCCAGTTTCCTTATTAGTAAAAGCAGAACAATATTTGATCTTGTAACATCATTGGACCATTGTGAAAATTCAACCAAAATATATACCAACTGTAAAGTGCTGTAGAATGATAGTAGGCATGTATTTGTCTTCCCAGACCCACCCTCCTTGCTTTAGGGATAGCATTACCCTTCTTCTGGGGCAGTTGCCTTGCCTTGTTCCTCATTCTCACCTGGGCTCAATGGGACCTGACATCTTAGAAGACAATTTTACCCTTTTGAGCACAGTAATTCGTCTAAATTAAATTTTACCTGCATCTGTTTTTACATCTATGCTGTGTGAAAAACCACCCCACAACTTAGTGACTTAAAATAGTAATGACGTTATTTTCATGATTCTTTGGTTACTAGGTGGTTCTTGTGATGCTTTCAGATGTGTTCTCTTATGTTGCTGCAGTCAACTGATGGCTTGAGTGGGGCTAGAGCGTCTGGGATGGCCTCACTGACATATTTAGGGCCTTGGTATTGGTCTGGGCCTCTCTTTCCATGTAAGTTCACTCTGGGCTCCTGTCACACAGTGGAAGCACACCATCATAGCAAAAATGGAAGCACGAGGCCTCTTAGGCTGAGGGTTAGATGTCAAAAAACATGACTTCTATTATATTTTGGTTAAAATAAAACACAAGGTCAGCTCAGATTTAAGACAAAGGGGAATATACTGCACCTCTTGATGGAGGGAGTAGCAAAATCACATTTCAAAAAGTCACATGTATGGACACAGAAGGAATTACTACATTAATATTCACAAATAATCTGCCATATTACTAATGCTGGAAAGCTTTTGGGCCAAGATGCATTAGCAGCCCTTGTTCCAGCCTTGTGGAAGGAGTTGGTGTGCAGTAGAAGATAATGCAACTGACTTCTGGAGAGAATCAGGGACAAGTGCTAGAGAGCTCTGAATCAGCTTTTAAAGCAGCTCTGTGCCTGCTTTTACTGCAGTTTGAATTATGCCAGCAAGTTATCCTGCCCCTTCTCCCATAATCTAGCTTAGGTTTGATTTCTGTCACATGCTCTCCAGGAGTAAGCTCAATATATGCTTATTACTTTTCCCTTTGTTTGACTTTCCTGGAGAATGGACGACAGGATTGGGAGTAGAGATCTATGAGTTTTAAATTAATTATGTAGACTGGCACAGCAGCCCTGTCTTTCTCCGTCTCATCCTCAGCCAGCTCAAAACTGAATAGGCTGGCAACTTTCTTGCTATCATTATTCACTCTTATTCTGAGGGTAGAAATGACTATGAGCTTCCAGTATGCAGCATCTTGTGAAAGATCAGAACTTGAATGACAGCATCAGAAGAACATGAGGGTATGCACGTGCAAGTTCCTTCATTTCTTCTCAAGAATGATTTTAAAGTTTGCACTAGGAGAAGCTCCTGAAACATCTGTTAGCAGTTTGGTAGAATCTACAGTCTTGTTACAATCTTAGATTAATTTATTATGGCAATGAATACATCAGACTTGATCTCCAAGGGCTCTCTGTAAATCAATTCTAAACCCTCATTCTCTGGGGTCATCTTTTTGGCATAAATGGGATCAAGAGAGGTTGTTAGTCTTTTGAGACTGTAGACTTTAAAATCTTGAAATTCAGTGCTTCAGAAATAAAAAGCAAACTCTAAAATCTTTAATAATCAAAAGAGGAGATGATAATCATTTTCTGCAGTTAGCCATTCAGGCTGTCACCCATGCCTTTTATCTTTAGATTTCTCTAGTTTTATGTAGAATGTCATTATGCAATTATCTTAGAAAACTTCTTCCCAAGAATTTGACTTTTCAGTATTCTGTCATTTAATTCTCTAATTGCATTATTTTCCCAAAGCATTTCTTTAGTCCAACTCACAATAAATATTTCTTAGGGTAGGTCCTACACGCACTCTTGGAATGTGCTCCTTTTGTTGGAAGAAAAGAGAGAATTTGGCCTGGATTAGGGTCACCAAAGATCCAGTGTAGTGGAGATGATGCTGATGCTGAGGCCACCTCTTGGATTGGCCTTTGGGAAGCCCTTTTCTGGGTGCCCTTCTCTTAGGAAGACAGAGGAAAATGGTCATGTAGGATATTTTATATTCCCATTTATAAGCCTTTTCTTGTAAACACTTTTTTTTCTATGCTACTTCCTGCTGGATTAGTAGAGACAAAAGGTGGTAGGGGAAGACATGTAGTGGCTGAGTTTAATCCCTGAAATCAGACAGACTCAAGTTTGAATTCTAATCTTGTCTTTTACTGTTCATACAACAATAAGCAAGTTGCTTAGCTTCTCGGATCCAATTTCTTCATCTGTAAAGTGAGGATAATACCTTCTAGGCTTGTTGTAAATATTAAATGACAAAATATAAGTATCCGGCACTGTGCCTGGAATATAGTAAGTGTTCAATAAATGTTATCTGTTATTATTACAGTATTTGTATAACTTAACTAACTGCAATTTAATTTATCTAAAGAGGTTGGAATACTGTTGTCCTAGTCAATGTGGGCTGCTCTAACAAAGTACCATAGACTGGGCAGCTTAAAAACAACAGAACTTTATTTCTTACAGCTCTGGAGACTGGAAGTTGAATCAGGATACCAGCATACTCAGGTCCTGGTGAGGGCCCTCTTCTGGGCTGTAGAATGAGGACTCCTTGGATCCTCACATGGTGGAAAGCAGGTAAGAGAGTTCTCTGGGGTCCTTTTTGTAAGCATGATCTGATTACCTTCCAAAGGCCCCTATCCCAATACCATCACATTGAAGGTTTGGATTTCAACATTTGAATTTTGGGGCATGTAAATGCTTCATACATTGCAGCAGTCATGGGGCAGAAGAATCACCTTGGATTTTAAGTGTAATTCCTAAATCTTAAGGCAGCCTCTCCTTTCCCAGAGTGGGCTGCAGTGTGACTTTCAGAAGCAATGTATTTGCAGGGCCTTCACATGGAGAAACTGAAGACAATTGCCCTAATGTTGAGATTTAATCCTGGAGAAAAGTATGTCTAAATATCTTAAAGAGTAAATGGCACTTGAGAAAGGCCCAGCCATTTTTTGCTTTAAATCAAAATAAGCAGGGATATTTATGGGTTCCTGTTTAGGTATCTGGAGTCACCTGAATTGGTCTTCATGCTGGCTAAACATCTAGATTCTTATGATGACTATTTAAGAGCAAATAAAACTTCTCTGTCTTCTGAAGTAAGTGTCTAAAAGGTTTTTATGGGAAGTATAACAGTGCTTCTGGAGTTTGCAGCTAACTTTGAGAATGTCTCTGGAAAGGAAATACCATGTTCTGTGGAGCCCAGTTGGGCCCAACATTATCACATGCCCAAGAACTGGATAAGCATATTATCCCAGTTTTCCTGGAATAGTTCCAACCAACATCATTGTCCCAACATCATTATTAATAGTACTTCATTTTACTCAAAAGCGTCCTGGTTTAGGTGACAAATTATATGGTCACCCTGTCTAAAACTTCATGTTCTATCTTTATTTTATTTTAAAAATTTAAAATATTTAGGGATGGGCATGGTGGCTCACACCTGTAATCCCAGCACTTTGGGAGGGTGGGCAGATCACTTGAGGCCAGAAGTTTGAGATCAGCCTGGCCAACATAGTGAAACCAGATTTCTACTAAAAATACAAAACATTAGCTGGGCGTCGGGGGTGCTCACGTGTAATCCTAGCGAGTCAGGAGGCTGAAGTAAGAGAATCTCTTGAACCTGGGAGGCGGAGGTTGCAGTGAGCTGAGATTGTGCCACTGCACTCCAGCCTGGGCAACAGAGCGAGACTTTGTCTCAAAAAAATAAAATATTTATTTGTAATAGACCAAATTATTATTATCACAATAACATTCTCAGCTCTTAGTGATAGAAAAATGTTCCTCTGTTTCAATGAAGTGGAGTTTGTCCTTTTATGAGACACTGCAGACAATGAGAAATATGTAAGTCTTTGGGTTTCCCTTTTTGCTGTGGCTGCCAGGAAGCTCAAGGCTAATTTGGAGCTCAATTACAGGATCATCCATAGCTTCAGATTTCTAAAGCAAATTATTCCCTTACCTGCCATTGTTACTTGGTTTGTGTTTCAGTTTTTATTGTGAGATCATTTTCCTAAGGATGATTTCAAATTATTTTTAAAAATAAGTAGAATATAAAAATGGAAAAGGTTGTGAATATTTTAGTTTTAGCATCTAAAGCCAATGAACTGACCAAACACAAGGTATTTCTTGTGGATATCTAGAGATCCCTCTTCTTCATGGTCACACTTGATAATGATGTGATGGTTAATTCTGGTGCTGTGGTAGGGTACATCATTTGGCCCTAATGCCTTATGCCTCCCTCTATTCATGACTTTTGCCAGATAACTTTGTAGTGCCCACCACTGGGTGTGGGACGATTGTCTTGGCTCACTCATTCTTGGACTGGTTGATTGTTTCTCTGGGCATTGACAAAACTGAACAGTAAAAGCTACAGCCTTGGAAATCTTGACTGTGTTTAGCTGTGAGGAAGGGATTTCTCCTCTTTCAGAGAACCACAGCAGCCTGTCTGGAATGTCTACCACAGGAAAGGATCTTAGCAGCAGTGGGCAAGTACTGGACTGCATAGGTCTGGTTTCCAACAAGGACTTCTTGTGGCAACAAGAAGCCATGAAAAATAGTGGCTCAAATAGATTTCAGTGGTCGGCATTTAGATAAAGACTCTATGAAGATCATCTTAGTGTATAAAGAAGAGCTGGTACCATTCCTACTGAAACTATTTCAAAAAATTCAGAAAAAGGGAATCCTCCCTATTCATTCTATGAGGACAGCATCATCCTGATAGCAAAACCTGGCAGAGACACAGCAAAAAAGAAAACTACAGGGCAACATCCTTGATGAACATAGATGCAAAAATCCTAACAAAATACTAGCAAAATTAATCTAGCAGCACATCAAAAAACTAATCCACCATGATCAAGTAAGCTATATGCCTGGTGTTCAAGGTTGGTTCAATGTATGCAAATTGATAAATGTGATTCACCACATAAATAGAACTTAAGGACCACATGATCATCTCAATAGATGCAGAAAAGGCTTTTGATAAAATTCAACACCCCTTCATGTTAAAACCTGCAACAAGCTAGACACTGAAGGAACATACCTCAAAGTAATTAAGAGCCATATGTCAAAAATCCACAGCTGACATCATATTGAATGGGCAAAAGCTAGAGAACCCCTTGAGAACCAGAACAAGACAAAGATGCCCTCTCTTACCACTCTTATTTAATATACTACTGGCAGTCCTAGCCAGAGCAATCAGGCAAGAGAAAGAAATGAAAGGCATCCAAATAGGAAGAGAAGAAGTCAAGCTATCTGCTTGCAGATGATATGATTCTATACATAGGAAACCCTGTAGTCTCTGCCCAAAAGCTCCTAAATCTGATAAACAACTTTAGCAAAGTTTCAGGAACAAAATCAGTGTACAAAAATCAGTAGCATTTCTATACACCAACAACATCCACGTTGAAAGACAAATCAAGAATGTAATCCCATTCACAATAGCCACAAATTGAATAAAATACCTAGGAATGCAGCTAACCAAGGATATGAAAGACTTCTACAATGAGAATTACAAAATGATGCTGCTCAAAAAAATCAGAGATGATAAAAACAAATAGTAAAACATTTCATGCTCAGGGATAGAAGAATCAATATTAGTTAAAATGGCCATACTGCCCAAAGCAATTTATAGATTAAATGCTATTCCTATCAAACTACAAATGACATTCTTCACAGAATTAGAAAAAAAAGATTATAAAATTCATATGAAACCAGAAAAAGAGCTCGAATAGCCAAGGTAATCTTAAGCAAAAAGAACAAAGCTGGAGGCATTACATTACTAGACTTCAAACTATACTGCAGGGCTACAATAACCACAACAGCATGGCACTTATACAAAAACAGGCACATAGACTAATGGATCAGAATAGAGAGCCCAGAGATAATGCTGCACACTTACAACCATCTGACTTTCAACAAAACTGACAAAAATAAGCAATGGGGAGAGGACTCCTTATTCAATAAATGGTGCTGGGATAACTAGTTAACTATGTATGCAGAAAATAGAAACTGGACCACTTCCTTACACTACATACAAAAATCAAGTCAAGATGAATTAAAGACTTACATGTAAAACCTAAAACTATAAAAACCCTGGAAGATAACTTAGAAAATACCATTCTGAGCATATAGGGCTATGCAAAGATTTCATGATGAAGACTTCAAAAGCAATTGCAATAAAAAACAAAAATTGACAAATGGGTTTAATTAAACTAAGGAGTGTCTACACAGCAAAATAAACTATCAACAGAGTAAACAGACAACTTACAGAATGGGAGAAAATGTTTACAGGCTATGCATCCGACAAAGGTCTAGTATCCAGAATTTATAAGAAACCTAAACAAATTTACAAGCAAAAACAACCCCATTAAAAAGTGGGCAGAGGACATGAACAGATACTTTTCAAAAGAAGACATATACATGACTAACAAGCATATAAAAAAATGCTCAATATCGCCAATTATTATGGAAATGCAAATTGAAACCACAATGAGTTACCATCTCACACCAGTCAGGATGGCTGTTTATTTTTTTCTTTCATCTTTTTGTTTTTTAACTTTTACTTTAGATTCAGGGGTACACATGCAGGGTTGTTATACAGGTAAACCCATGTCATGGGGGTTTGTTGTACAGATTATTTCATCACCCAGGTACTAAACCTAATACCCAATAGTTATTTTTTCTGCCCCTCTCCTTCCTCCCACCCTTCATCCTCAAGTAGGCTCCGGTGTCTGTTGTTCCCTTCTTTGTGTTAATGAGTTCTCATCATTTAGCTTCCATTTGTAAGTGAGAACATGCAGTATTTGGTTTTCTGTTCTTGTGTTAATTTCCTAAGGATAATGGCCTCCAGCTCTATCCATGTTCCTGCAAAAGACATGATCTTGTTGGTTTTTTATGGCTGCATAGTATTCTATGGTGCGTATGCACCACATTTTCTTTATCCAATGTGTCATTGGTGAGCATATAGGTTAATTCTATGCCTTTGCTATTGTGAATAGTGCTGCAATGAACATTCATGTGCATGTGTCTTTATAGCAGAGCAATTTATATTACTCTGTAAAATTACAACATCCGTAATTTTTGGACTTTAATAATAGCTATCATTTTAATAGCCATTCTATTATTAAAAAGTCAAAAAATGACAGATGCTGGCGAGGTTGTGAAGAAAAGGAACTTCTTATACACTACTGGTGGGAGTGTAAATTCATTCAGCCATTGTGGAAAGCAGTTAGGTGATTTCTCAAAGAACTTAGAACTACCATTGACCAAACAATCCCATTACTGGGTATATACCCAGAGGAGTATAAATCATCCTGCCATAAAGACATGTCACTGCAGCACGGTTCACAATAACAAAGACGTGGAATCAATCTAAATACCATCAACAATAGACTGGATAAAGAAAATGTTTTGTAGTATGTATACACCATGGAATACTATATAGCCATAAAAAGAATGAGATCATGTCCTTTGCAGCAACATGGATGGATCTGGAGGCCATTATCCTTAGCAAACTAACACAGGAACAGAAAACCAAATACTGCATGTTCTCACTTAGGAGTGGAAGCTAAACTCTGAGTATGCAT